AAATAAAGCAGCACCGTTTCCTGTTCACCCTCGGAGGTTCCCATATTCTATATGGTTTGGCAAACCTTCGACTCAGGAAAGTAAAGGGGAAGGGGTGGTTTTGATATGAGGGTTTATTTTCCTATCCCCTCCCTCACCCTGCCCATTCTTTCAAATCAGGAGATTTCTACAAGTCCTTCTCTGACTTCCAATAACAAAAGAACTCATAGTCAAAAACGCCCAAAGGGGGACAAGTGGAAAAGGACTGTGCCTTTTTGAGCAGTAAAAAAGGTGGTGATCTGCCTGTTGACTATGGCAGATCAGCTTACCAACCAAAAGAGGGACATTCAACAGGATTCTAGACACAGGCATTTGAGAAATGACAGCCCCACTCTAGCACTAACCCATTCATATTATTGAGGTCAGCTGGAAGAGGTCTCCTTTGGGCTCAGTTTTCAAGCCTCCTGTACAGCCAAGATGCTCCTATTTATAGTTCGGTCCTGCCCCTGTCATAATGACCAAGTCATACCTATGGATTGGCTATGTAACCAGTAACTCAGAGTAGGAAATGACTGCCCCACCAAACTATGTCCATGGCAAAATACATCCAGACATGAATCTTGCAGTTTGAGAGATGATGCAAATTTGCAGAGATCCCTGCAACCTCCCAAGGCAATCAAAACGGAATCCTCAGCCAGTCTGGACAAGTTGTCCCATTTGTGAAGACTAGGAAACCAGGTGGGAGAGTGAAATAGATGGTTCTTTGCAGCCAAAACTAGTCCTTGTCCCCAAGTCCGCTGAATTCACTGCAAACGCTGAACCTCTGGGAAACAGGTGGTTTTGACTTTTTCTTCTTGTTGGAGTCAAGGTCACAGTTTTCCTATCAGATTCAAATGGAAATTCTTTCGTTTTTTTTTTTTTCCAAGTTGAAATTGTTAGCATCCAGCTTTCATATGTGCCTTTTCATTTGTCTCAAAGAACCCCAACCAGATGCTCAAAGATCAGCAGTCCCACTGAAGCCCACCAACTATGACACACCCACCAGTAACGTCCAAACAGTCCACGAAGCCCTAGGCAGATGGAAAGGCCAAAAGAACCAAAGGGCTCTATATACTGGGCACACACCTGCTCACCTGTGCACTGGGGGCAGCACAGTGATCCTGTACACATCCTCTGTGTCTGACATCAACAGGCGTTGCATGGTGCCCAAGGTGCGCCTCTCCTCCTGCCTCAGATTTCAGGGTGGGCGTCGGGGTAACATACTTAAAAAAGAAAAAAAAGATCTGAATCACTCAATTCTCCACTTTAGGTTTTTAAATGCTGAGATCTTCAAAGGAAATTGGGACTTTGTCTGATTTTCTTTCTGCTTAGCTTACTCCTCCACGCCACAGGACCAGTCTCTGTTATTGTCCTGGTCGCTCTCATCCTCTCTCATGTTGCAACTACTGGAATTCCGGAGGTGAGCGCTGCAGCTGCTGATCGGGCCCATTCCCAGGTTCTCCAGGAAGAGAGCAGAGCGGGAGGCGGCACGCGCCTTTGTCTTCCACTGGCTGAATGCCAAACTCTTTCACGCTCCCAGTGTCTGCGAACTCCAGGTAAAAGTAGCCACACTTGACCGCCCGGTGCACCTCAAAGCAGAATCCCAAGCAAGAATCCTCTATCAGGTCTACGTAGATCTCCTGAGCGATGGCCTCCAGCTTGTTAGTATCCAGGTTGGCCAACGAAATTTCCTCCATTTTAACGAATAAACGGCGGCGGAGAGGGCGCTCGTTTTACTCGCGGCAGCGACACGTCGGGCTCCGCAGGCCGCGCCTAGGCCTGCCGCTCAGGGCCGTGTCCTCTGGTGGCAGGGACGGCGGCGTCCGCGGCGGCAGAAGGCACAGAAGCAGCGACGGCTCCAGAACGCCAAGTCCTTCAATTCGTCTGGCCTTGGCCGGGGTTCTGGGGACTTGAGATGCGCCTGACCCGCTGACTCACAGGCAAACGCCTGAGGTCTTTTTCAAGAAGTCTTTGCCCAGGCCAATGTCTTCAGGGTTTCCCAATATTCTCCTCTAGTAATTTGATAGTATCAGATGGTAGATTGAAATCCTTGATCCAGTTTGAGTTGATTTTTAAAAGAGATTTATTTATTTTATTTGAAAGGCAGAGTTAGAGAGAGGCAGAGAGGTCTTCCATCTGCTGGCTCACTCCACAGATGGCCACAGTGGCCAGAACTGTGCCAATCTGAAGCCAGGATCCAGGAGCTTCTTCTGTATTTCCCATGTGGCTGCAGGGGTCCAAGGACTTGGGCCATCTTCTGCTGCTTTCCCAGGCCATAACAGAGAGCTGTATCAGAAGTGGAGCAGCCAGGA